GTGTGTGTGTGTGTGTGTGTGTGTGTGTGTGTGTGTGTGTTCATGATGATGTATTTTGTCCGTGGGGACCTGTTTATAATCTGTAGATGTTTTTTATTAATAAATGTGGACATATTAAGACAGTGCTTGTTCCTTTTTTCAAACCAAAGTTAAATTAAACTGATTAATATAAAAACATTTATAGCTTATGGAAGGTAAAGGCAAATAAAATCTAGAGAGAAATTATTGTATTTTTTTCTTTTAAACTTTATTTTGAGTTGACATCAGAAATCCTTTATAAAAACCAGATGAAGCAGCTTCACAGCTCAGCCTGATGAAACGAGGGTCTCAGAGGAACATCTTTATTTGTTCTGAAGCAGGTTTTTTTTACTTTGCATGTTTCCTCTGCTTTTGATTCTGTTGTGGTTCGTTAAGTTAATTAAGGTATTTCTTCTAGCAGGTGGGATAAAAAAATAAGCATCATCTTAAATCCGTTTAAAACCATATTTAAGTTTGATCAGTTTATTACATCATGAAGATTAACGTGTTTGAGTTTGTTCTTTCATTCAGATGTTTGAACTTAATCTAAATTCTTCATTAATGTTGCAAAAGGGGTGGAGCCTCACAGACAGGTGTGTCAGTTCTAATTAAGAGGACACGCAAACCTGTTCAGTACTTCAAGTAAAATACATTTACACAAGTAAAAAAAAACATTTACTAAAGAAAGTACTGCTCAGTGTTTGTGTATTTTTACCAGTTTATTGTGYTCCTGTTGGACTCAGAACATCTTGTGTTTTTAACTGAACTACATTTATTACTCAGTTTTAGTTGCTGTTCATGTATCAGTTTTTCTCACATAGAAAATTAGTTTTATAAAGTTCATCAGCAGGAGTCAGACTGAACATATGAAAGAATATAACCTTAAAGTCTGAAACAAAACTCTGTTAGTACAATTAACACAGGATTTTCTACTGTCACTTAGCTGTGGCGGCCATCTTTAATCATCCAACCATCACTTTCTGAGAGTTTCATTAAAAGCTTCATGAAATATTTTACTAACAGACACAGCAGAGAGAATTACATAATCAGCCATGTTTCATGGCACTGGGTGAAAAACTAACTGTAGAAGTTTAGCACCATAAAACATCATCTGAGAAGGTTTCTGTGTCAAATTAAGGGTGTTGAACTAAAACCTTTAAAACTTAGCCTCATTTCCACCTTAACTGAGCCCCTTGGTTAAGGTGGAATTAAATGTCAGAGGTCAAACTGTCCTGAAGAGTCTCTGTCGGGGTTTTGGGTTCAATTCTGTCCTGTCCTGTGATCCAAACAGCTCTGCTCAGGAGCTTCTCTTCATGCTAACGTGTTTCTAACATCTGTGTGCTTCATGATTCACCTCCTGCAGCTCCATCACAGCCTGGCTTCACCTCCTGCAGCTCCATCACAGCCTGGCTTCACCTCCTGCAGCTCCATCACAGCCTGGCTTCACCTCCTGCAGCTCCATCACAGCCTGGCTTCACCTCCTGCAGCTCCATCACAGCCTGGCTTTGGTCTGGAAGAAGCTCATGACGGCGCTCAGACACTCGTCTGACAACCAGCGCTCCATCAGCAGCTCCACCTCTGCATCGTTCACTTTGTACAGATGCTCCTTGTCCACAGAACGGACCAGCTGTTTGGACAGAGCCAGAGACTGATGGAGACACAGAGGACAGAGACACAGAGGACAGAGACAGTTCAGGGTCTTCACTGAGCAACATTTAGTTGCAGCTCAGTTTGTGTAACTCTGTTCTTTCCAACCTTCAGATGTGTAAAACCTGAACCCTGTCTGACAGGAGGAGTCTCATGTTCCATGTGTGTTAAACTGTAATGTGGAAACATGTGTGTGTGTTAAACTGTAATGTGGAAACATGTGTGTGTGTTAAACTGTAATGTGGAAACATGTGTGTGTGTTAAACTGTAATGTGGAAACATGTGTGTGTGTTAAACTGTAATGTGGAAACG